GCCACGTCAGCTAACGACTACACGAGCGCCGTCAACGAACTTCACGGATGGTTACCCGGGGCCGCTGACTACCTCAGAGCCCTCAAGCCGGTCAAGTGGACCGTACACGGGAACTTGAGCACCGCCGCCCATCCGGACAAGCGCAGCCTTTTCGGTGTGCGCTCGTCAAATTTCGTGGAGTCCGACAATGCGAAAAGTACAGTACAACTCCATCCACTCGCGGCTATCGCAACTTTTCGTAGACATCCACAATGGCGTCTGGTTCAACCTCCCATTTGCTGCCCTCTTTATCATCATGGAGGACACCATGACAACGGTCTCGAAGCGCGTCTCCGAGGTCGAGGATATGGACCAGACACGCAAACTGACGCCGTATGCCGCCAAGGAGTACGCGGACCAGAAGAAGAAAGCGTTACAACATCTCGCGGTCGAGCAGCGGCCTGTATTACGTCAGCTGCATATGCCGTGCCGTCATTTGATCCGCGTGCTCGCATTTCTCGACCTCCGTGATCGCATCATAGATTGCTTCCACCCGATGTTTCTCTTCGAGAACTACAAGAAAGCAGTCGCCGAAGTCTCGTACAAGCTGCCGCTCTTTGACCGAGCCGTCCCGAACCGCGCCGTCTTGGCGCCGCCAGGGCAGACCACGTTAAAGGCGCATTGCTAGCAAGGGCGAGAGTGGCGGCAAGAAGACGGCGGCCAAGCCTCGGTCTCGGTCCCGGGTGACCATCGACTTCGACATCAAAAATGGCCTCGATTTCGACGACGACGACGACGAGGCGGAGTATCAGCCAAGAACATACAAATGCAGCAAGTGCGGGAAGGAAGGCCACAACACCGCTACGTGCAAGAAGCACGCGACCAAGCTCGTGCCAGCTACATCGAGCGGAAAGAGCCACCTTCGACAGGACGCGGCGCCCACGCCTTCGACCATGCAGATCGCCAGCATTGTCAATCCGACGGCCAGTACACGCTCGTCGGACTCCGAATTCGAGTCCGACTCGTCCAGTGGCGAATCCACCTCAAACGAGGCAGAACACGACGTCGACTCGCTCGGTTTCGCCAAGTGGCAAGTGAGTGCACCGATGTCCACGGAGGACATCGCGAGTGCAGACATCGAACGTGGCACGTAACCGACAATATACATTTAACACTATTTGCGTGAGCTCCTTTTTGATTCGCAGGCTTTATTCAGCATTTCGACCAATCCCGTCGAGGTAGTAACCTTTTTCAATATAGGCTCGCAAGGTAGGAACTTTTGCAAATATTGGGTCAAAAGTAGTAACTGTTGAAAAAAACTCCGTCACCACAGCTCGCAGCATATGCAAATACTCCATGCACTTCAACAGCAGTAGTCGTCGTACATGTAGCCCCACAAAGTATGAAATACGACACCCTACCGTCAAATCGACTATGTTTTTGGCTCGAATAAGTCTCCCGAGTCCTCGCTCGAGACAAGTCGAGTTGCAGCTGGTTGCCTGCAGAGAAACACGCTTTGAATCGTTTACCAGTCGTGATTGTACCAACCCCTAGTTCCCTCCCGGTATGTAAATCACGCCTCGACACCGCCACTTGGCGCCTTGCATCGCAGGCGGTAGCGCGGGACCGACTCGTCGTCGCGCGGCGGCCCAACCTGGATATGTGGCTGCAGACCCAGCGTCTTCGCATGAACGACAAGCGCATCACTTTGGTCCGAGTCGCCTTCAACGACGAGCGTCATACGTGCGCAGCGCGAAGGCATCGAGGAGACCGCAGATCGCGTCGTCAAGTGACAGCTGCGCCGCGTAGACGTGCAACGTCACCTCGGCGGTATGACGCGCGCGCGTCATCGCTTGTGCGAGCGCCCTGTGGACGAAACACGTCCAACGTCAGTGCTGTCCCGGCGCGGCCAAAGAAGGCGGGAAGCGCGCGAATCATCGCCGCCGGTGGGCCATCCACGTACAAACAGCCGTGGAATCGGACGGTCTCCAGCACCGACGACGTTGCCATGAGCTGTCCGATCGCTTTCATCGTGGCGTGGTTGACAGTGGCCGAGAGCACATACAGATGACGCACTCGGAGAAGGAGCGGAAAGGTCTCTAGGATGGCGTTCTGGATCGTCAGTGACGTGAGCTCTGGCAGACTGTCGAGGGTCATGGCCGCGTCCGTGACGTCAATCGCCTCACACCAGTGCAGTGTACGCAAGCGCGTTGTCGTAAGCTTACGAACGAGTCGCATCAAGTGCGCGGCCGTGATGGCGGCGACGTCCAGAGACGCGAGTTGCACCGGGAACGACGGCCCGTCGTCGCGCAAAAGATGATCCCAAAGCGCCGGCATCAGGTACAGATCGTGAGGGTAGCGAGCGTTCTCGACTGCAAAAGCGCCTGCGCCAGCGCGTCCAAGGCGCGTTGACTCGCGTTGAGCTTGCAGAGACTTAGCGTTCGAAGCTGGGACGTTGCGAGGGCCGCCAAAGTGTCGACGGTCGGCGCGCCGTCGGCGGCCCTGCTCACGTAGCCGATCGAGCGCAGCTTCGGACAGCTTTGGGAAGGCGAGCGATATTTTGCCACGTCGATCCGTCCTGGTCGACGAGGTTGACCTCGATCATGTTGGCTGTCCATGCGGCAAAGTCGTCGACGCTAGATGCGCTGTAGAACCCGCCGACGACCTTGGTGTGCGCCTGCAGGGTGACGTGGCGCCACACTTGCGGTACAAGAATGAGGTCGACGATGTTGATCGCGCTAAAGAGCGGGAGCGCTCCAGCGACGAGACCGTAGAGGGTCGGCACGGCATGGAAGGGGAGCGCGGGTACTGTCGGGTCGTGTTCCTGGACGGCGTTGTACAAAAGGCTCGTCAAGGCAGGATCCACGACGTCGGTAGGCGGCGCTCGAAGCAAGCGCTCGACGTCATTCCCGTCAGCGAGGCAGCGCACTAAAGTGCGCGCAAGGACGCTCAGAACTAGGCGTCCTGACGTGGCGTGGTCGGCGACCTGCGTGGTCGCGATGGACCCTGCGATGGACCTGTCGAATGGACAATGCACCGATGCCATTGGGTGTCTTCTATTCTTGACGGGCCAATGAGATGCCGCCATCTGCTTTCGATTGCACGCAACACAAACGACATTTTCAAGTAGCAAGCAAGAAATTGATACCTGACTGGTAGGAACCTCCCACGGGAACCTCCTGGTGACACCAGCTCACAGGCGATTTTTACGTTGTAATGCATAATAATGACTCACTTCAACAACACATCGGACATTTTCATATGAAGTGATTTCTCGTTATCTATCAACTTGATACATACATGTACGATTGTCAACAACGTAGTCGGTCGAACACGGCTTGGAGCAGTGTTGTTGTAAAAGGCAAGCGACGCGAAACCACGACGAGCCATCAAAATCTTTAAACTGCAGGGTCACAGGGTGTCCAGGCATCGGAGACGGCGAGTCACATACAGTACTGTAATTGAATGCAGCGATGACTTTGGTGTGCAATGGAAGCGGGGCACGGCGCCACGTCATGGGTATGACGCACCCGTCGTCCACGTTGATCGTGTTGAAGAGCGCAAGGTGGCTCGAATCGGAGGCGTCGCACCCCCACGTACCACCGGTATCGCTCGCGCCGACGTCTCTTTCCGAAGGTCTGAATGCCAAGAATTCGTCGAGGCGGCTTGGCTGGACCGTCGGCCAGACAACTTGGCGCGAGGCCAAAAGTGCCAGGAGGCTGGTCCAGGCGGGACCCAACATGACAGTGCGCAGCGCTTGAAGCAGGCGCTCGACGTCGTCGACGTCCGCGAGGCAGCGCACGAGGCTGCGCGCCATGGCGCTCAGGACCATGTGTACCTACGGCGTGGCGTCGCCATCGCTACGGTTGATGCCATTGGCTGTTGGCTGCCATTTGTTAGCCATGGACTAATGAGAAGACTTGAATCTAGACTGTGATCGCTCAGGTGATCGATTGCATTCGGAAAAGCGCCCAGACCGCCAGCTGCACGTGGCTGGTCGATCTCTGCTCTGCAATGTGTCGTGTGGGACGATTCCTGTATCGTTTGATCTGGTAAGTTGGTGCATTTATGAACCAGTCCCCGTCGTGTGCTTGTGTATCAATTAGTGCTATCTATCAACTTGATACGATTGGCGACCGCAATATGTTCTAAACACCCGTTGTAACGACGCCACCGCTGGTTTGCACAATGGCTGCGCTCACGTTCGAGGCCGCCCACCCCAAGCTAATCGTGCGCCGGCCTGATCTCCGCGCCCTCTCGGATCTGCGCATCGTATGATTGGGCACCTTGACGATGCATGGAATGCTCTGCTGCATTAGGAAAATGCAGCGCGGCTCGTGTGCTTGAACGTCTCGGACAACATTCTTCAAGACTTGGCCGTCGACTCGACGCTTGTCTATCCTGCGTTGGAGGTACTCTCTTCAGAATGCCGTTCTTCTTCTGTCCTCATTACTAAGTGTATAGCACCTCAATGCGAGCCGCAATTGGCTGTCAGATATGAGCCACCTGCGCTGCTTTTTGTCGCTTGTTCACGTTGATCTGTCGCACAACCAGATTCGCACGGTGGATGGTCTCGAGAGCCTCCAGCATTTGCAGGTAGAATTAGTCACACAATTGTACTCTTGCTACATCTCCGTAGGTCTTGGATCTGAGCCACAATGTGGTACGCACCTTTCTCGACGTGCGGTCCATGTCCCTCAACCGCGTACGCTGATGCGACAGACGCTACCAGATGTGCGTCACAACCACATCTTATAGTCGCTCCAGAGTCTGTACCTCCACCACAATCCAATCGCAGATCTCAAAGGCTACCGTGCACGGCTCGCGTCGCTCTTACCAAGCTTGCTCATGCTTGACGATGTCCGGTACCCTCGAAAGCCGAATGCGGCGTCTGTCGACGCGGCTGCGTCATCACCATGTTCTGTCTGTCGTCCGCGTAGCGCGCAGCGGGTTCTGGTAGCCACCTCTAACGGTTCTCGAACCGTCAACCGCTTACAACCGTGTTGTAGAAAAAAGGGGTCGCGTCACGGGACCACCAAGCGCTCTCGGATGCAATGCGAAGCAAGCCGCGCGCCCATGCCAGTCACCCGACCACGAATTGTACGGTGCCTAGAGTATCAGTTGCTGCAATGGTAGCACCAGATAGGTCGAGAGCCAAAGGTCCCACCAATTCCTCCCCCGTCCATCTTCGCGACGAGCTCCACAAAGCCATCGCGCCTCCACAGCGCCCCGTCGCCACTACGAAATTGAGTTTGAGTTTGATCCAACGGGCAGCCAAGGACGCCATTCGGGCGATTTCGGTTGCTCTACAGGCTGGTTCAACATTCGTCTTGATGCAGTGGAGTAGACGCCAGATGACGACGCGGCAACGAGCACGATGCCAGGATTGCAGGATCCAGCGCAGACAACCTGTCCGCCGGCTCTCACAGCTCCGGCGCAAGCAGCTCCGGTTCATGACCGTGTTCCAAGTCTTATCGATCGATCGCTGGGGCCATTGGAGCAGCTGTTGGACCCGACACGTCAACTGAGCGACGACGAGGTCATGGCGCTTGTGGCGGCAGCAGCTATCGACGAACCGTACGAGCCCACGGCGCTAGAAGAAGTCCTCTTGGGCTTTGAAGCCACGCTCGCGACCTTGCCGATGGTTTGCGAGTGCCATGGCTATGCACGTCGGAACGTCGACGCTCTTGGCGCAGAAATATCCGAGCTCTTGACGAGGGACCGACGGACCAGCACCCACCGCGCAGCGTACCACTGAGTCATCTGCCAAGACAGCGCGTCTTGCCCAGGAGAACATTTTGCGTGATTGATTATGGAGCACTTACTGACGTCAAGGACGTATTGTCTTCTTTTGTAGCAAGGAGTCTGGTAAGGCCAAATACGTCAAATGCGTGGAGACCGGTCGACGGTTACTGATGCTCAAATGTACCGGCTGGATGCAGGTTCGGTTGGTGTCAACCAAGCTGTTGGTGTCTTGATGGCATGCGTATGGTGGATCGAAGCAGAGCCTATGACGTCGGCGCCGCATCATGGTATGACCCCGCTGCTGCTTGCATATCATGTGCGTGCTTGGCACTGGCCTCCGAAGGAACCGCGGCGAAGTCACGCGAGCGATCGAGCCATGTCGCGCTCGTCCCGCAGGCCATGGAATAAAAGCGCGCGACGACGACTTATGTTGTTCTATTACCTCGCCTCCACGATGTCTCTACCTATTCTTCGTGGTGGTACTCCTTCTCCAAGGCCGCAATCTCGGCGGCGTCTTCGAACTCGAGGCGCATGCCTTCCTTGATGGCAGCGGCCTCCTGGTTGGCCCACCGCTCGGTCATCTCGTGCGGCTTGGTGCTCGGGATGAAGGCCTCGCCACGCACTTGGTAGTACTTTTGCAGGAACCGGTCGCCCTCGACGTGCTCGTACTTCTCCATGAGCATTTCGAACGCCTTCTTCTCCGGCACGCCGAGCTCGATGAGCGTGAGCTGCTCGTCGGCAAACTCGTACGCGGTCTCGTCGTCGGTCGGGAAGCCGCACTTGCGCGCGTAGAGCTCGGCGAGGCGATCCTGCGGGAACTCGAGCTTGGGC